GGGAGGCACAGACTCATCCAGGAACAGGCCTGACCATCAGACATACCTGGACCTAAACCCAGCGGCTGGATTCAGCCAGCTTTTGGGGAAATGAGGAACCTTTGTAATAATATGGACAATAAAGATTGATTTAAAAAAACAAAACAAAACAAAAACAAAACAAAAAACCCCATCAAGTTCAAGAAAAAGAAAGGCTGAGTAGAATTCTGGAATCTTCTAGAGACAGGACCGTCAAAGCAATGTGCGATCCCGGGTTAGATTCTGGGAGGGGAAAAATTATAAAGGGAAATTCATTGGGAAATTTGGAAATTCATTGGGAAAATTCATTGGGAAAATTGTCAAAATTGGAATACGGAACTGTGGATCAGGCAAGAGTGTTGTTTTAATACTAAACTTCGTGATTTCGCAATTCCTACCGAGGCTGCGAAAGAGAATGTCTCTGCCCTCGGGAAACTCAAGCCCAAGTAGCTATGGCTGAGGGCACACAGCACCAGGACGCTCAGGTGGGCCAGAGCAGCACCAATATGCAAATGCACATCCATAGAGAGCACAGGATGAGGCACAGGGCTAACTATAAACACTCTGTCCGGGAATCTGGATCAGCAGCATGTGGGAGTGTTTTGTCTATTGCAACTTTCCTTGCAAATCTGAAATGATGTCAGAATAAAAAGTTGCAGCCCTAGCTGGTCTGGCTCTTTGGATAGAGCATCGGCCTGTGGACTGAAGGGTCCCAGGTTCAACTGTGGTCAGGGCACATGCTTGGTTGAGAGTTTGATTCCCAGTAGGGGCTGTGCAGGAGGCAGTTGATCAATGATTCTTTCTCATCATTGATGTTTCTGTCTCTCTTCTCTCTCTCTCCCCCCTTCATCTCTGAAATCAATAAAAATATATTTTTAAGAGAGAGAGAGAGAGAGAGAGAGAGAGAGAGAGAGAGAGAGAGAGAGCGCATTAGTCTTGTGATAGAGGAACTGTGGCCCCACCACACCCTGGCTCTGGAGGTTCAGATGATGTGTGTGGTCTCTAACCCAGTGGTTCTCAAAGTAGGGCCCAGGACCAGTAGGCAGCACCTGGGAACTTGTTAGACATGCAAATTCTCAGCCCCACTCTGGCAGCCCAGAGGCCCGCTTCTCTGCTCCTCGGGGAAACCACGGTGCTTTCGAAGCTCCTTTCCTTACTCATAGGATAAGCATTATCAGCATTCCTACCCCAGGGCTGTTTGGAGGTGTGGCTGAGATAGCACCGGATTCATCATCCTCTCCAGGCCACTTCAGGAGCACAAGCTGCTCCTCAAGAATGAAGGAAGCGCTGGTTCCCTGCCTGTCCCCTTCTTCCCCTCTTCCGGGCTGGTCTCACCCAGGCTTCCAAACCCAAGTTACCTACCCCAAACCACCCAGGTGCGCCCTGGCTCCCATCCTGTGCCACGCCCAGCGCCCTCTCTCTCAACTCTGCTGTTTGCGGCTCCCCCCCCCCCCCAACTAGGTCCAGCCGCTCTGCTCCCTTACTCAGACAGTCAGCGCTGGGCCCCTGTCCATAGAGTCTGTGGCCCCTCTTCCCATCCCTGGGATGGCGTCCAACAGGGTGCAACTTCCTGTCACCTCCTCCTCCTCCATCCTCTACCACAAAGTCAGGTGACCGACCTGGTAGCATCTAGACACATCCCAGTGCTGTTGGCAGACACAAGGGGAGCAAGGAAGACGGGCCTGGTGCAGACGGTCACCCGGATGGTAAGCCCCAGGTGCCTAGCAAGGGACAATCAATTGTAGGTGAGGACCTGGCCCCCAGGGTGACCTTTCCTCCCCTGGCACATCGCTGGTCATGCGGTTTGGACCACAGACCTTTCCTCCTAGATTCTAGGAGAGCTCCTTCCCCCACACCGAGGAGGGGGCTCCTGCACCCTGAAAGCAGCTCTCAGACCTCTCCCTCCAGGTCCTTAGGCGGGAGAGCACAGTGGTGGGCAAACTCATTCGTCAACAGAGCCAAAAACCAACAGCACAACGATTGAAATGTCTTTTGAGAGCCACATTTTTATTTTATTTTATTTACTTTTTTTTAAAATTTTATTGATTATGGTATCACATAATTGTCCTCATCCCCCCATTTCCCTCCCAAACCCCTCCCCACTCATGCCCCCACCCCTCCTGTTGTCCATGGCCACTGGCTAGGCCCATTTGCACGCACACAAGTCCTTTGGTTGATCTCTCCCCCTTACCCCACCCTCCCCTACTTTCCCTCTGAGGTTTGAGAGTCTGATCGCTGCTTCTTTCTCTGGGTCTGTGTTTGTTCATCAGTTTATGTTGTTCATTATTTCCTCTAGATGTGTGAGATCATGTGATCCAAGAAATACCCTTGTAAGAACCAAAACTGAGACAAGCCTGGTTAGTACTTGGATGGGAGAGCCAAATTTTTTAAACGTAAACTTCTTCTAACGCCACTTCTTCAAAATAGACTCACCCAGGCCGTGGTATTTTGTGGAAGAGCCACACTCAAGGGGCCGAAGAGCCGCATATGGCCAACCACTGCTCTAGGATCTAGAGATAATATCTATGCCCCAGTTGTATTTCAGCTCCAGGCCCAGGTAAGCAATAAAACCAGCCACCGGCTGCAGACCTCAGGACCAGCTGCACTGAATAATGACCCTGCCCTGGTGCCTGCCAGCCAATCAGCGGAGACCACAACCCTGAAAGGACACGTTGGGAAAGCTGCTGAAACATCGATTAAGACCTTTCCCTGGATCTCCCCTAAAATCTCTGCCCTTAACACCCCTAGGATAGAGGACCCAGTGCATTCTCCCTCCAGAGAGCACACCCCTGCCTTCCCCTTTCCCCCTCTCCCCTTCCATCCCCAGGCACATCGCCATTGCTTCCTCACTGCCAAGCTCCAGGGGGCCCTTCCTTTACCTCTACAACTTGTTTGCTAAGCCCACATCTTCTGAGAATCACCTTTTCTTCCTCCATCACTGACCTGGGAAACATTCTCTTAGTTTGGGTCTGGACTCTGAATCCTTTCCTAGCCAGAACCCAAGTACCGAGGTTGCTGAACCCAGGTTTAGTCTGACCTCACCAGTCAGGCACGTGGTGCCTTCAGCTGCCTCCACCACCTGGGGGGCATCCTGGAGCTGCGGAGAGTGGGGGGGTCCTTTCACAGGAACCTGGCTCAGGCACCTTACATCAGGTGCAGTGAACACACCTCCCGCCGAGGCTCCCCCTGGTCTCCTTTCCCAGGGAAGATGATGTTATTTTCTTGGCTTTGGAGCAGATTTGCATCTCTTCTCCATCTCGCAGACTCTACAGGCAATCCCTGTGCCATCGGGTCTGTGCAACAAACAGCCTTCAAAAACGCAGCAACAATGACAAAACAGCAGCCAGCTGGGCCAATCAGTTCATACCATCTTCTCTATCCCCAGTTTTCTCTTTGGGTTCCCAGCACCTGGGCTCCCCTGGCCCTTCCTCTCCTACTCCAGGCCTCAGGGGGTCTTTGAAATGCAGATCCTCCTCCCCCAGACCAGAGGAGGCTGCACCTGCACTTAACCAGCACTAAATATCCCCTTGGGCCGGTCCTTGGGGACGCTGGGTCCAAATGTGAATTCCCTAAGGCTCTCCTAAGGAGAAGGGTGGGGCCCGGAATCTGAGCTTTGGCAAGCAGTCTCCCCGGGGATTCTTCTGCTGAAGCACATTTGCATACGTCAGTCTGGGGCGAGGATCTGAAAACAACCCATTTTCACCCCGGGATGGGATGGAGCTTGAGGGCATTCTTTCAGGTTTTTTGTCAAAATGAAATGAGTGGCATCTGGAAGTGGGGTGGAGACTAACTACCACCCCAATGCCGCTCCTTAAAAAAAAAAATCCCAACAGTTCAGAAGGAAAGAAGAGAAAACCTCTTTACGTGGTAGCCTTCTAGCCCGTTTGGCTCAGTGGACAGAGCGCCGGCCTGTGGACTGAAGGGAACTGGGTTCGATTCTGGTCAAGGGGGCAGGTACCTGTGTTGCAGGCTTGATCTCTGGCCCTTAGCGGGGCGCATGAGGGAGGCAACCAATGGATGTGTGCCTCTCTCTCTGTGATGTTTCTCTCTGTGTCTCTCCCTCTCCCTTCCAGTACCTTTAAAAATAAGTACGATAATTAAAAAACTCTAAATGGTGGACACAGGCTTGTGACCAGGTAGGCTGCCCGCACGCATCCACCGGCCCCAGCCTCACAGCCAGGCGTGAGGGCGCATCCAGAGCTCAGCCTCACCCGCCCCCAAACTGCCAAAGCCACCAACCCTGCCAAGCTCCCGCCAGCGGCCTCCCCCCCCCCCCCCCCACTTCCCACCTCCTCCGGTCCCTTCAGGACAAGGGCGCGATTTAGCCTCCTCGGGCCCACCCAGACGGGGACCGCCACCTTTTTTTTAAGCCATCAACTCCAATATTTACAAGCACAACCCCATGCTTGGTTCTAAAATGACTGGCCACACAAGGCACCGTGTACTTCTCCTAACAAGAAAGAAAGAAAAAGAAAAAAAAAAACAACACCAACTAGGCTTGTGCCTTGCACTTAAAAAACAGCATAAATAAAGTTTAAAAACTTCTTAAAAAGAAGTTGCTTGTGGCACGCACCCCCTTCCCTTCCTGTTGGGGGGCAGCGCTGCACACTCGCCGATCTGGCCAGGGCGGGGGGCCTCCGGGCCCAGGCAGGCCCGCAGCCGGGCCCTGAAACTCTAAACCTGGCCTGAGGTCATCGCGGCCGCCCGGCCAAACAGAGCGAGAGGGCGGGCCGCCGCCCCGAGACCACCTTACCGCGGCGCCGCCTCCCGCACATAAATGCCGGCTCCCTCCCCAGCTCCCGCTGCAAAGTCTGCTCTGCTGGCAGCCGCGGCCGGAGGACACAGGGGGACCCCGCTTGCCCTGGGACGTTTGCTCCCCGCCTTCCAGTCCCCCCTCCTGAGCGCTCCTCCAGGCGAGGGCCTGTGGATCTTCCCAGAAACTAGCTGCTGGGCCAGCCGAGGGGAACGAGCGGCCCGATAAGATGTGGAAGGTGCCGGTGCCGGTGCTGCTGCTGGTTTGCGGGAGTGCATTGCTCTGGGCTCCGGCAGGAGGAGGTAAGATCCGGGTGAGGAGAGGGGCTCCCTCCCCACAGCTGTTGGGGCCCGGACCTGCGGGAATGGCCGGGCCTGGTGTTTTGAGGTTGCCTAGGAGAGCAGAGGGGTGCGGGGAGGGGGTGCCTGCGAGTTTGGAGGACCGGGGAGAAGGGGAGGCAGCCAGCGCTTAGAGGGTGCCAGGACCCAAAGAAAGAGCTGAATGGGGTGCAAGGAGGAGACCCCGAATCCACAGGCAGCAGGGAGGAGGAGTAGAGGGGGTCTCCCTCACAGACAGCCCACCTCCTGGCATGCCCTGCTCAGCTCAGCTCAGCTCAGGAGAGGACGGGTGACGGGAAACAGCAGGAGCCTTCCCTGCAGGCCCGCGTGTTGGAGGAATGCCGTGGCCTCCCTCCAAGGAAAGCGGGCTCATGGGATGGGGAGGGACATCCAGGAGAGCCGGCCTCGGGGGAGGGCTCCCCCTGGGAGCCGATGGTCTCCCCGCTGGGGGCTGCCGACTTGTGCGCCCCCAGACACACTCAGGATCCATCCCTGGGGACCCTCTGTGTGGAGGATGGTGTGGGAGGGAAGGACAGAGTGGAGGGCTCCAAGTAACAGGGGGGATTGGAGGGTGGCTGGGACCGGAGGTTTAAGTTGGTTTGAGGCTCCGTGTTGAGCCTACGTGAGCGTTGGTGACATCTCAGAGTTCAAGTACGTTAGGTCTGATGATGGGGCACTGCGGGTCATCTGCCTCGCTCCACTCCCTCTCCCTCTCCTTCCTCGCTGGTCCTCTTCTCATCCCTTACCTTTCGGCCCAGTGGGCGGCATCCCAGGACGTTCGTCAGTAGTTTACTTCTTTTCTTGGGTTCTTATCATCTGTTTCCCCAAAGAATCTTAAGTTCCCAAGGACACAGCAGTGCCCGGCGCGCAGTATTTGCTCACTCAGTATTGGCAGAAGGGATTCTTCTCTAACTAGAGATCTTTAGAACCGGAGGCTGCTGAGCTGAGCGCTGGAAGGTAAACGCTTAGGTTTTCCAAGCCGAGGACCAGGGCAGTGAGTCCCAAGGCCAGAAGAATCCTCTCATAGGGAGTGGCTTGAGGGAGGAGGCTTCTGCAATTCCATGCAAGGACAGAAATGCCCGGCCCGGGGGAAGTGACACAGGAGATGGTGTTCTGTGCCCAGCTGCCTGCTTCTGAGATGGAGAGATGGAGCAACCCTCTCCGCAGGCCCTCGGACTGTTCGTGGTGGCCCTATCTTTGTCACTTCTCCTCCCTGCACGCCTCTGCAGTGCAGTTACTTTTCCTCTTTGGCGGGACTGTGTGCAGATGTTACGGTGTTGAGTTTAAGGTGGAGGAGGTCCCCAGATGGAGCAGGGCCCCAGCCCTGCTGGGGGGAGCTCGATGGGGGAGGACGGAGGGGAGCAGGCAGCTGGGCGGCACTCTCTGTTTGCTCCAGGGAAGGGTTAAGCTGTAATTATCCCTAAACCGGTTCCGTTCCCGAGTGTCAGGTAGTTCCGAAGGGTAGCTGGCGGGAAGCCCTGTCTGAAAAAAACTGCCTCCCGGCTATGGGTGAGGGGGCTGCGAGTGGATGCTGATTGGCCAAGGCCCCGAGGGGTTTTGTCTGCGGATAATGGGGGAGGCAACTTGCATGGGGGATGAATAGCTGCTTTGAGTCTGGCTGTTGTTGGCTCAGGTTGAGGAGCAGGCCTGGGGGTCATTTTGGTGATGAATTATCTTCCTCCCAGGATCCTGCTCCCCACTGGGGCTCCCTCATCTAGAGTTGTCCTCGGAGAGTCAGTTTTATGATCTGGTCCCGCGTGTTGTCTCTCTGGAGTCAGAGGGTTAAAGGCCCTCCGTGGTCCACACATCTGGCATTTTCCTCCGTGGTCAGCCCCACCACCCTCGCTCTGAAATCTCCTCCAAAGCACGCACTTCAGGAGTGTTGATTGGGAGAGATCCTACAGGCCGAGGCGTGCTGCAAACCCCTGTGCTCTTCCAGGAACGTCCACCCAGGATTAATCATGCAGCAAAGGGCTTTGCCTGTGATTTCCCGGAAACCCTTGCCAGTTTTCGGAGGCCCTGGAATCTTCATGAGTTGCTAAGCGCTTTTGTAGCACCAGCCGAGCGTTTCGTAAAGGGCAAGCCCGTTAGAGCTTTGTGAGGGAGGCCTGGCATTTCACTTGGTGTGTGGGATCCAAAACAGCATTGAATATAGAAAAGCACTTTTTTTTATTGTTATCCTCACCCAAGGATATTTTTTCTATTGATTTTTAGAGAGAGTAGAAGGGACTGAAGAAAGAGAGGAGGGAGGGAGGGAGGGAGAGGGAGAAAGAAACATCGATATGCCTCCATGGGGGCCAGTGATCGAACCTGCCACCCAGCTACTGCCCTTGCTTGGGAATCAAACCCTCTACCCTTCAAGTACTTGGCCTGATGCTCTATCCATTGCACCACACTGGCAAGGGCAAAAAGCACATTTTTAAAAAAGTATCCACGCATGAGAGGGCTAAGTCAGGACTGTGAGAGTAGGGAGGAACCCTGGCTGGGCAGAGGTATGCAGCCCCCCTCTCCTTCTCAGGCCTCTGAAGTCTTAAGATTCCCATGGGGTGAGCAAACAGATGAAGCAGCTCTCCATCACACACCTTCCTCCCCTCTCCCATCCCCATCCCCACCACCTTCCACCACCTTCAAGGAATGTCAGTTACCGCATTTAAACATCACAGCTCCCTACATTGCTTATTATTATTATCTTCAGGACACAACAGAATTGGGCTTCAGAAATGGGTTTAACTCCAACCCCAAGCTCTTTTTGCCCAAATAGAAGAGAGACCCACCTACAGAGGTTGAACTTGAAAGGTGAGCCTCCCTGTAAGTTCTTTAAACATGAAAACAAAAAACCCTAAAGTGTAAGAAGTTCTTTACACTGAGTGCTAAGTGTCATGTTCCCTGAGGAATGGAGATATCGCAGTAGTTACAAGAGGATGCATTCGTTCCTTTCCCCGATGGCACCTCAGCATGCCCGGAATGCTGGGCGTGGGGTAGGTGCAGCCCGGAGTGTACACACCTAACCTACAAGCACCCCCTGAATCCGCACCGCCCCACCACACACCTGTCTGTGCTTTAAATTCCTCGGGCTTATCTGAATATTTGTCATATTTCTGGCTTCGAAGAGGAGGCATACCAGGTTAGAACTTGTGGAAATGTTATAGGGGAGGAGAGAGAGAGAGAGAGAGAGAGAGAGAGAGAGAGAGAGAGAAGACAGGAATACTGAGCACTACCCTTGTGACACTCGCTTGAGAAATCTGATTAAGATCCTGCCACTCTGACACCTCTCAGGAAAGTAGACAGTGAGGGCCGTTTTGTTGAAAGAGAATCACATGATGGGAGGGAGCGGGGGAGGGGAGAACAGGGGGGAGGCGGTGGAGCAGGTACTTCTGAAGCTGAGACACAGTTGCTGAGATAGTGTTAGGATTCCCGTGGGATGAGCAAACACGAAGGCAGCTTCCGATCGCACGTGTGAACCCTTTCCCTGCTGGTTTCTGGAAACTGTGGGGAAAGGAAGGTGAGCAGGCATTTTACCCGGGGGCTATGAGAGAGGGAGCCAGGTTAGGGAAGGCGTGCCAAGCTTATTCAAGGCAGGAAGTCGAGCTGGTTACTTCCTTCCCTTGGGTCTCACCCAGCACCCACCAGCCAGCCTGCCCACAGCGGGCCAGTCCGGGCAGGCACTCCGTTCGGCTTCGGCAAAAGGGGTGGACGGATACCCCTCTTCTCCTGGCTCCATTCCTCTGCCCTGGAGGAATCTGGCTGTCCTTTAAGGGCCATCCAACTGGCATCCAGCTAGGTCCGCAGGGAGACCTGCAGGCCTGGCCACCTCATCACCTAGCTCAGTGGTCGGCAAACTCATTCGTCCGCAGAGCCAAACATCAACAGGACAACGATTGAAATGTCTTTGGAGAGCCACATGTTTTAAACTTAAACATCTTCTAACGCCACGTCTTCAACATAGACTCGCCCAGGCCGTGGTATTTTGTGGAAGAGCCACTTGCATGTGGCTCTCGAGCCACAATTTGCCAACCACGGACCTAGCTGCCCGAGGACCTGCAAACTGAAATGGTTAATGCAGCACTAAATTGCATGCAACAAACCTACCAAAAGGATAACACCTTTCCGGAGGAAGGTGTGCTCTGACCCCTGTGCAGAGGGAATGTCACCGGGCAGTGACTGTCACTGTGACTTTTGTAGCCAGTCTCACAGAGAACGGATGGGAAGCGGGGCAGGGGGCACCCTGGGATATGTGTAAACATGTGGCCGCTGAGGAAGGATGGTTTCCTGCAATTCATCAAGGTGTCTCTATTGGGGGGAATGAAACGTCACTCATACCAGCAACACGGCCACCCAATGAATCCCGCCCAAAGGGTTTGATGATGTTAAACCTGCCTTGCCCGAGGAATGCGTGTATTCTTAACAAATATTTGTTGAGAAACTGGTATGTGAGTCAGGCAAGGCAACGTTACCCCTGCTGCCGCGAGCGGGCCAGATGTCATAGCTGGTCACATGGGAGTCCGATCCCGGTGACAGCGGCGCTGTGGTGACTCAGAGGTGGCTGTTCTATCGCCGCCTGGATTGATTCACCGGACGCCTCGCCCTCCTCCCGGGTGGCACACGCACCAGATCATGTCTCAGGTATTTCACGCTGGAGAAGGATGTGCCTTCTCTGAAGCAGTGCGGATCACGTCCTGTTCTAAATAATCTAGTTGGTTCTCCTGGTCTCTTGGGAGTTTTGGGGTAATGTGAAACCGTTTCATGTGAGCTGGACTGCCCCCTGATAAGATTACGTTTCTGAATCTATAAAACTAAGGGAACTGGATTCTGCATGGGTGGTGTGAATCGCAGTAACTCTGTGATAACAGCGAACATTCACTGAGCCCTTAGCTGGTGCCCAGCTCTTCCCAAGCCCTGCTCCACTTAATCTACACAACAGAACTACAAGGGCGCAGCTGTTTGTGTTTTATGGAGGAGTAGAG